CATGCATGTATTGCCTGCATGTAGGTAAGTGCACCTCTGTCATGCAATGCCCACAGACGACAGAAGAGACTGTCTGATCCCCTGGAACTGGAGTTACAAACAGTTGTTAGCTGCCATGTGGGTACAGGGATTTGAACCCTGGCCTTCCATAAGAACAGTCAGTGTTCTTAACCTCTAAGCCATCTCTCCAGCCCCAGTTGTTAGAAGTATTCTTAAAATTTGTATATCAGATAAGGGGCTGAATAACAGCTCCACAGTTTCATAAAATGGTTTGTCCCTTATGGTATGAACTTCTCTGCGAACATTAAATATGTGGTTCCTGATTTACGTTGCTATATAAAATATTTTAAAAATTAGAATTTTCTAAAAGTGAGTTGCCTTCCAAACTTTTTAGTAAATTCTTGATGTTCATAGTAAATGCAGAAGTATAGTGTTCAGGAGAGATGACTCAGCAGTCAAGAGCACTGGCCACTCTTGTAGAGGACCTGAGTTCAGTTCCCAGCACCCACAAGGTGGCTAACAACTGTTGGTAACTCCAGTTCCACAGGAATTCATTGCCTTTTTCTGACCTCTTTGAACATTGCACAACACAGGTGCATCTATATACATGCAGGCAATACACTTATACACATAAAATAAAAATAGTAAATAAAATTTTTTCCTTAAAAGTATAATAGTGTTGGTCGGATCTTTTATCAGATTAACAGGGTACTATTGGACAAGGTATAATTGTAGTGTTTGTCACTTGTACTATTACCATAATAGTTGGCCTTATGTAACCTCTTACATACATTCATTGAGACCTGAATATAAGTTTTTTAAGAAGTAGTAATAAAATGATTCTTACCAATTTTCTCTGAGACCTTTAAACTTCTATTTTAGCTTTATACATAAAAACTTTTAGATTGATTATAATATTCAGTTTAATAATTATACTTTTGTTGTTGCTATTGTTTTGAGACAGGGTCTTCCTGTAGCTCCAGCTGACCTGTAACTTCCTATGTAGACTAGTCTGACCTTGATCTCTAAACCAAAGATCTGCCTGCCTCTGCCTCCAGAGTGCTGGGATTAAAAGTGAGAGCCATCACACCTGGCCCTGACAATTACACATTTTAATTTAAAATTTTTTATTTAAAGCAAACAATAAATTTGGGAATTGTTTCCAGGTTCATTCATACCCTACAGTCTTGTTTTCTGTGTCTAGCATTAGCTTTTCATCATAGACGGTTCTTTCTCTGAAAATAGCATTTGAACTTCCATGTTAACTTTGGGTTCTCATTTTTTTCCTCATCTTGCCTAGTCAGAAAACCATCATGTACCTTTCCTTTGTTTTCATTCCCTCATTTCATGGTCACTTTTTATCTGGCAGAAGAGTAATACATACAACTCTTTAAAGTCAAATCATTTTCAGTGCTTTCTTACCACCTAGACAAATAACCTGAGGTTTATGTGATCATTTTTGTTGGCAGGTAAGCAGTTAAAACTCTGGATTTCAGTGAAATGAGAATTATATTCTCAGGATGAGATACATGTATCTAGCTCATTAATCTTCTTTCTTAAACTTACTTTGCTTTGTAGAAATTCTTGATGAAGGAGACAGTGATTCAAATACAGACCAGGATGCAGAAAGTAGTAAAGATGAGGATGAAGACGAAGAAGAGGAGGAAGGCGAAGAAGACGACGAAGGTAAAGGTGTAGCTTATTCAGAGAATACTGTACACACTCTGGGAAATTAATTCTGAGGTCATTCTCTAAAATAGCATTTCTCCATCTGTTGGGGAGGGATTGTGAAGAAAACCATTGGTGCCTAATAAGTGAAGACTAGGGGTATGGCTCTACATCATATAGGTCACAAGACTGCACCTACAACAAAATAAGGAAAATCTTTTTTTTTTGGTCCTTTTGAGACAGGGTCTCCCTGTAGCCCCAGCTGTCCTGGAAATCACTGTGTAGACCAGGCTGACCTTGAACTCACAGAGATCCTCCTCCCTCTTAATTTGGTATTTTAGACCTTTAATTGTACTGTAAGCTATAAACAGGTCCATTCATGTTGAGTGCACATGATTTATATACCCCTGGCAAAGATGTGACAGATGTGAATGACTACATATTTGCTCTTCATTTTGGCAAAATAGAGTAGGGAAGCCAGAAGCTGTGTTTGTGCAGAGGCAGGCATGATGTTCTTCCCCCTCAGCTTTAACTATATCATTGTACAGAAAAGTAAGGTCAGATCATTACTTTGGTTAAAGATCAGTAAATAGAACATATACGTCCTGGTCATGAATTGCATATCTAAAAATATTAAAGTCTGTCATTCTCTTTTAGGATAATGTATTTTAGGTGTTCTGGAACATTTACAAAAAAAAAAATAGATTTAATTTTTTTCCAGTGTTTCCTTTGAGTCCATTTAACTATCCATATTCTAAATTTTCCTTTAGAATTTCTTTGTTTTCTCTGGATTTATGAAAATTCAAGTAAACACAATTACATATAAGAAAAGTTTTCTTACATTATATAAAGGAAGTTTTTACACATCGGATATACCCAGCTTACCATAAACTGAATTTCAGCCTCTGCAGTTCATCTACTTTATCAAAATACTGTTTATGACTGTAGTTACACTCTTTTATGAAGCGTCAGCATGAAGTAGAGCCTTCTATGGTGTCTTAAGTGAGTTGGTAACACAGTTTTCTTAGTTTGTTTCTGGACTTTGATCTAACAAAATATGGCAGAAAACTTAAAGTAGCTGTGTTTAATTCTGCAAATGCTATTTTGCACAGTAGAACACAGCATTATTACTTTTATTGAATTTGATTTGTAGAAACACACTGTATAAAGATACATTTTCATCATGCTTATTTTTGTATTTTTGTGTTATGTTTAATTTCTTTCAGGACAAAAAGTGACTATTCATGACAAAACAGAAATTAACCTGGTCTCATTTCGTCGTACAATATATCTTGCTATTCAGTCAAGGTAAGGCATGATAGCTCAGTTGATCATTTGTTCTTGTTTTTGGATAAAAGATGGGTAAGTAGGATTAGAATCTGATAAGAGAAAATGGGTGATACCATTTTGTCATTCTCAAAGTACTTGCTTACCTCTCGACCCCTGTCCTATGTCCAGGCTCATAGATCCCAACCTATTTGTTCTTTTCTTTGAAAATGAATTGTCTTTACTTAATGTTTTTTTCTTTTTAGCTCTGTTATTTCTTATGGTTAAACACTAAATAAACCTTGAAAATAACTAACTCTGTATTAAAAGCTATTTCAGTATTTGTTAAAGTAAATTCAGTGTTTCTTTCTTTTTTTTTTTTTTTTAGGTAAAGTTAGTGTTTTATTTGAATTTAAACTAGTCTAACTGGTTCTGATTTTTCTTGATGTGTTAAGTATAAAAGTATAAAATTTTTCCTACAAATATTAATGAACAAAGTGGGACTCAAAGTGAGACGGATTTTTCCAAAGGAGGAAGCAACCAAGCAGACTATAACAGGAAGAGTCTTCAGTTACCAAACACAAAATAGGAGCATGCCATAGGGTTACTTTTTCTAACTTGATTTTTAATCCTGATTCCAAGCTTAGGAACATGGCTGTGGTAACTCTAAGGTATTGGTTTGCTATGCAGGAGCAAATGGATACAACTGGATTTAGGAATTAGGAAGGTTTTAAAGACCCTTTGAAGTAGCATTAAGCACTACCAGAATGTCAGGAAAATAAAGGTATTTCCTTTGAAAGCTATGAGTTTGGTTTGAAGAGAAATACATGAACGTTAAATATTTTGTGCATCTGTTTACATTTCACACAGGAATAGGGCTGTTTTCTCAGTTTTGTTCTTTGCTAGGTTTTGTATATTTCCATTAAGTATGATGTAATAGCAATAATGATTCATAAGTAAGAGTCATCTTGTTTTCATTCTGTCTGTAAACTTTAGCTTAAAATTCACCTTCAAATAGAGGAGTATTAAACAGCAGAATGCTGGTTAGGAATTTTTCTAGTTCATCTGCCTATTTCTTTGCATTTCATGTGAAAAACTTTTTTCATGTAAACTTGAAGATGAGAATTTTTGTTATAAGTCAGTATTTTTAGTGGTTTTTTTGCTTGTTTGTTTTGAGACAGGGTCTCCTTGTAGCCCCAGCTGGTCTGGAACTTGCTATGTAGACCAGGCTGGCCTTGAACACACAGAGATCCGTGGGTTCGAGATCAGGAGTGCTGGGATCAAAGGTGTGTGCCACCATGCCTGGCCCATTTCTCCTTTTTTTTTTGGAGACATGGTCTCCCTGTAGCCCCAGCCGTCCTGGAACTCACTATGTAGACCAGGCCGGCCTTGAACTCACAGAGATCGCCTGCCTCTGCCTCCCGAGTGCTGGGATTAAAGACATGCGCCACCACGCCCGGCTTCCATTTCTCCTTTTTAAGAAATCCAACACTTGTCAGGCTTAGAAGATGATTCTGTTTTAATGTTGCTGACAACATTAACTTTGAAGAGTTACAGTGGAGCTCTTTAAATAATTATTTAAAAGAAACCCTTCTTTAATTTGACCTTGGTATAATTTGACCTTGGTAATCTCTACATCACAAAAATGACTGAAAAATGAAAGCACTAAGACACAAATAGAGCTGCTATTACCTTCTACAACAGTGTTTTTAGAGTCTCAGCCCCACTTGCTTACCCCCTTTTCTTCTCAGTTATATATGACAGTGATTACTGTACTTAGAAAATCTATACAAATGTTAGAAGAAAGGCAAAGAATTTGAAGGGTTTAGATGGGAGAGTCATAGGAAATAAGATCTCATAAACAATGTTAGCCATCAAATGTCTAGACAAGTAAGTGCTATTATTGGTCACCAAAATAGCAGAAATGGCTGGATTTTTTTTTTTTAAGCAATGGTACTGAATCTTTAATTTTGTTAGATACACTGAAAGATTATTGGTGGATAAACTGTGGAAAGCCTTTTGGAAACATGAGTCAGGGGCTTACCATCCATGCAGCATTTATGCCGCATTACTGCATTAATAAAGAACAGTCTGACTCTCAGCATCCACTTTAACTCCAAGAGCAGACCCAAACTGCTGAGACCTGTTCTTCAGATTTTTTTCCTCCAAACTGTAATCTTGGTCAAGGGCTTTGCTCATTTTTTATTAAAAAGTGTACCCAGCATGAAAAAATCAGACCCTTATCAAAGAAGAATTTTGCCCTTTGATCTAGACCTAGAATACCACAGACACAACTACAGTTTCTCTCACCATTTGCAATGAGAGCTTATAGATGTAAAGCATGCATAGGCACATTCACATATTATTTTGGTTGAAGGGCAAGAGGGGCCATGAGGGATTAAGGTCAAATGCCCAGGTCACAAGAGGAACACATAATTCAGTGAGCTTATTTACATTATAAACAGCTAAGAAGATTAACGTTTTGGTTGCAAGGTTAGGTAAAAGTCATTTATCCAGAGTATATTCAGTTGTAAAAATTATTATGACACATTTCATCTGCCCCATCTTTTGGAGTATTATTGTAACTACTAAATAAGTAAATATTCATACAAAATTATATAATAATTGTTCATTGCAAAAACAAGAGAAACAAATGGGGGTGATTACTGCCCAAGATACGTGCTCAAAATACCCAGGTTCTGCCCCCATTGAAAGTTAAATTGATTGTGAGTTTTTTCAGTGTGAGCAAATGCTCTGATATAATGACAGCTTAGAGAAAATATATAGACTATGCAGCACTGTGCTTGTATCTTCTAAAAGTAGGCAAGTCAACTCTAGAAATAGGGCATCACATATCAGCAGTGTTTATCTTAAAAAGAAGGGTAGATAACAGATGGTTTTAAGTGTCTTTCTTTCCTCCAATACTTTGCATTTTCTAAGTCTTTATAACCTCCAGGCTAGATGGAATGAAGTGACTTAAGTCAGGTGGCAGTGAGGGCATTTTATGCAGTCACTTTGAGAAATCTTTGGATTTTTATAGTACTGCTATGCAAGTGCTCTACCATTGAGCTATACCTCCCAACCCTTTACTTTGGGAAATCTTGTCAACAGAAGTAAGTTTGACAACTGAACTATGTGGATATTGCAATTTTTAATTTTTACTAATCTTGCCAATACTCTTCTGTAATGCTACTGTTAGAATTCCTTAAATTACCTATTTACTTATAAAAAACAAAAGTACACATTGGTTTTGCTACTTTATTTTTAATTTTATGTGTATGAGTATATTGCATGCATGTATGTAAGTGCACCCACGTGTGTAATGCCCATGGAGGTCAGAAGAGAGCATCAGATTCTCCTGAAACTGGAGTTATGGACAGTTGTTAGCCACCATGTGGGTGCTGGCAGTTGAACCCAGGTCCTCTGCAAGAGCAGCCAGTGTGCTTAACCACTGAGCCATCTCTTCAGCCCTGGTTTTGCTATTGACAATAAAGCATTCCTATTTGTTATTGTTTCTAAACATTGTTCTGGTCTGATTTTGCATTTTTGGAGTTGTGGCCTCAGACAGAGATGGACTACAACGTGGTGCAATTTAGTTTCTTAAATTGAACACGTTGACAAAATCATTCTTAAATACTACTTGAAAACTGGCATTATATCAAGGAGACTGTAATTAAGTAATGTATTTTTATTACCATACTTCAGTTATTTTATCAATTTGTATTAAAATTGGAAATCATTTGATTTAACAACATAAGGTACTTAGAATATTGAGCAGCTTTAATTCATGTAATACTTATAATTAATGCAACTTCAAAACAATCTTGGTTATAAGGAACCATCATATACTTTAAAATAAAGCATAAAGAAAATAGATTCATACAGCCCTTTCCCTGGTACTTAATAAAAGTAGAAAGTACAATATCTTCACTTACTTGGTATTGTTATAATATTGAAATTTGTCAGTGTTAGATGTGCTTCAGTGTTGCCTGTTAGAAAGGCTGCTATCTGGAAGAGTTTGTTTTAGTTTTCTGTTCATTCTTTGCCTTGTACCATCTTGTATTGCTTCTCAGTTGTGCTTATGAAACCCAATAATTAATAGATGCTAGAAATACAGATGAACTGTGATGCTGTCTTCATAGTCATTACATTACATTGGGTAGTGATTATGATACTTTGGACTTTCTACAGAAGATCCAAATACATCAGTTCCTCAAGTTCATGTTGAATTTGCTAATTCTCTTCAGTATGTTGACGATAGTTTAAATTCATCTGTATGGACACTGTAAAAGCATGCTTTTTTCCTTATAGGTTATTTGAATCATTTGCTGATTTTATATTTTTTATAACATGTGGAAGTCCATTGTTTGTGCATAAACTAAGATACCTGTGAAAGTATTGAGTAAGCACCAAACGGCACAGGGCTCCTGCACCATCTTTACCTCTTGATTTGCAGCAGCAATAAGTAGTAGTGTTAGAAAAACATGTAAAGATTGTGGCACCTGGTGAGGTAGGTGCAGTTCCATTGTGATTGGCTGTCATGTGCTCTTCCTTGTGGAGATTTTAGTGTAAGTGAAAGATACTGGACCTGTTTTAATTACGATTTTTCCTGCCTTTCCTAAATATATATGCACATTTCAAGAAACTATTTTTCTTTCTTTTTAAATTATTTATTTAATAACCACATCATTAAAAGAAGCATTTCATTACAGCCTTAACATATTTAGTAACAATTTCCAGAGCAATATTGGCTGTAAATTTTTAGGTTCACAGTGTGTTATACAATATTATAAGATATAAAATTGAATGAGGTTTTAACTTTAAAACAAAGATCTCCATTTCATTTTAAAATATACTGTTTCATACAGAAAATCTCATTTTTAATGATACTAACACTTAGTTGTTTGCACATGCGTCTCTAATCTCTATGTATCTGATTACTAGTCACAGTCAGTTACTTTCTGAGATCCACCTGAGCATGGATATAAAATCATTGGGTAGATTTCAGTCGTAATGTGTTTCACCTCTACTATTCTTCCCAA